GTATGTAAGTTTATATGCAGCAGGTAATCTCCGAAATTACTCATCCGATTTCAAAAATTTTTTCACCAATATCTAGAATGAAACTTCAGGGTGGACATAGGCTGTATATTATTCCGTTAAAGATGGGAGATGGACAGTTCTTTACGGTCAGCTTTATGGAAGGCTTACCGTAAAGAACTCTGCTTCTATTTATACTATTTTAGATGCGGGTTTTTGCGTTTTTGATTGCGTTTTAATATGGTCCCATGTACACTAAGAAGGGATTTTTCGATATTCACCCCGCGGGGGAGAGGGACAGGATTAAGGCTTACTGTGAAGAACTTGGCTTCTATTATACTACTTTAGATGCGGATTTTTGCGTTTTTTATTGCGTTTTAATAAAGTACGTCAAGAGAATGCACACTAAGAAGAAATTTTTCGAAAAATTCCCCCCCCCCACGGGGGAAGTGTTATACATTTATAATAGATACATTTTGAGCCACAACAAGGCGTGGAGTGGTCTGCTAGTTTTATATGAAGCAATGAATTGAACAGTTTCCTAAATATTAAAATTATTTATAATCTTAATTTACTCGAGAAATTTCTAATCTGAAAAATTAATTTAAAAATAATTACATGCAGAAATGTCTTGCTTTAGATAAACTGAAGGAAAAAGTGGAAACACTTAAATAAACTGTAACGTAAAAATGAAAATCTTTTCAAAATAATTTGATTGTTATATTATTTCAAATTGTCATGTACCCGAATATTAAGACAAATATCTATCAAGAAAATAATTAATTCTAGTATTGATAATAAAACTATTTCTTGACAAATTATTTGTAATCTTCATTTATAAAATATCAGAAATTAGACCAGGAATATGTCATGTTATAGATAAAGTGAATGAAAAACTGGAAAAGCTTTAATAGATTAAATTAGTTTATTTTATTTATGTAAAAATAAAAAAAATTCAAAAATAATTTTGTTTTGGTGTTATATTATTTCATACAATTGTCGTGTTTTAATTTTCTCGGATATTAAAACATTTAATAATTAATACAGAAACTTTGCCTTATTGATAAAATAAAATTAATTCAATGAAGATTTGTAATCGAAAAATTAGTTTTGTGATCTGAAATAATTCCATTAGACAAAGTTTTATTTGCAATCTTAATTTAATTTTAAAAATTATTTGTGACTTTAATTTATTCGACAATAACTTGCTCGAAAAATTAATTTTGTGATCAGTATGTGTCAAACCACTAGTACTTTCATGTTTATGTATATCGGTTATATTGCATATCGCGTACTTTTTATATATCGTTGTAATAATTTACTCCAATGTAACTTTCTGTAATTCTGTATGCATGTAGCTCTGTAGATAACTTTTAACTTCTGTTTTCTTCTTGTACCATTTTCCCTATTATCTGTACTGTATGTTTTCATCACGGGCTAATATGTAACGGACGTATACTTAATCTTTACTTTTGCGGCCCAATGGCCGAGCGGGCAAGTGGCAGCCTACCACTCTGGGTGACCCGGGTTAGAAACCGAACGGGTTGAAAAATCCCCAGGAATTTTTCGGGGGTGGTCCCGGATAACTCGGGCCTCGTATTTCACCACCCGGCAGCCCTATTGTAGGTCTGGCCGAATCCATAATGGGCTTGCAAAAAGAGGCCCTCTTAGTGCCCACAGCGCAAAAACAGTCTAAAAAATCAAGTCTACCTCCACAATTACCTCTGTATTGTGTTGGCTTTGTCATCTGTACATCTGTGTTTGTTAACTTCTCTCTGCGGCAATGTATTGTCACAGTTACAATTTAATGTATTTGTATATTCCTACTTCCTTGTACTGTACATTTGTCCTCGCACATTTCTGTTCCATGGTGTTAACACCGCGACCTTTGTACTGCTCTTGGTTACACCAATTTTATGCTTGTATTTATATTTTCAAAGTATGTAACTTTCTACAGTGTATTGCATTTATACGGTAATCCATGTAATCTCAACTTATATATTTTTTGTATATAGTCATTGTATCATCCGATAACCAGTGTAACCTCTACTGTCTAATTCTACTTCCCGCTGTGGTTCATGACCTCCCCTTCGTCTTGTAACTTCTTTTCCCACCTTTATCCTTTTCGGCCTCTGCCACCAATCACTTTCTCTTCCGTCTAAGGCCAGGAACACACATGCGTGAAATTGTGTGGCAGAAAACTGAATCAGAAATCAGCTTTCGGTCCAGTTTCTGTTTTACGCTTTTATGCCAGAACACACATACGTAAAAATTCTGGCCGAATAGGAAACACCACTGCCACCAACAGTTCTAATTTTATTAATTTTTTCCTCTCATATAGGCTATCTATCCCTTTGTACTGTACCTTCTATTTTTTCTCCGCTTCCTCTGCTATAATATAGAAAATTTAAATTAATAGACTTGTATTCCGAATTCAAATAAAGAACGTGTGATCTAAATACTAGGGCTATATATCGATTCTACTAGACCTTCCTGTTGTTTGAAATTTTGCACCTATATCCATCCATAAACGTTGTTTAAATACAGTGTCTTTATACATGACACTGATTTGGTCGTACGGATTCAATAAACTCTTCTATTTCATTTATTTTTCGTTTTTTCGAGACCGTCACAATTGTAGAGTTAACCCTCATTGCCGCCATTGTTAGAATAAAAACCACGTGTCTACTTTGACGTCACAGGAAAGACTTCTCTTTATTGGAGGAATTTTGGCGTAAAAATTTTTCGGCGTAAAAAGTAGAGACATGCTCTACTCTATTTTCAGTTCTGTTTCAGCCAAAATTTCAGAAAAATTTTTACGTTTTCTGTTTTATGCTAGATTTTAAGCCGAATTTTACGCATGTGTGTTCCTGGCCTAAGACCTTCTCACTTCATTTCATCCCCTTAGAGAAAATACCTTTGAGTAACACCTCCTGTATGCTTTCCACAATAATAATAATATCCTTTATGGTGCGGTCTTTTAATTAATTAATGGGACGAAGTGATCTAATTACAGTACTGTAAGTTAAAAAGATAAAAACATAGGAAATATTTCAGAATTTTTAGATCATTTTCACAGACGATTCGCATTGTTTAACGGATATTATTGGCACTTGGAGAAATTTCAGTTGAATCTTGTTGAGTTGAATTTTGTTCAGTTGCGTTGGAAAAATTCAGTTTGTATCTCAACCTACTATCTGAAACTAATCGCTTTGCCACCAGTGAAAACCATAATCTCAATTTTTTCATATATGACAAAAGTACTTATTATTTTATAAACTATTATCTTCAGTTATTACTTTTCCATTAAACTATATATAATAATTTCTAAAATATTCAGTTTAATTAGAATATTATAACTAATTCATTAAAATAATATTTTAATATCAACACTTACATAAAAAATTTAATCATTACACTTATATATAACACAAAACTAACTGTTAACATTGAAATTAATTTTTTTTTAATTTTTACATAACTTTGTAGGAGTGCTGTATATGATACACCTCACAAAACACATTAATTCTTCAAATTTATGTTATTCGCCGCAATAAATACAATGATTTATTTAATGATTTACACGTTCAAAGGAATGAAGTAGAAAATCATACAGTTTGTTAAACAGCATGATAAGTTATCTGTCTGCAAAAACAAACTTTTAAATAGTTTGTTTCATTGATTTCGTAACAGAAAATACAGTAAATCTTTCACAAATGTCAAATTGCTTACAAACTATTATGTTTATCACTGGTAGAGCAACTAAGAGGAAAAATAAGGTAGCTGTACTTGTTCCTACAATATAAATTAATTTTAGTTCGACTAACGAAAAACATACTTGTTTAAGAGTAATTTCAATAAATAAAATTTGTATGTATATCATTTGTAAAACGCCATGATTAATGGAGCCTGCTCTATTTTGTTCTCGACCTATTTAATCATCAAAATGGTTTAGGAATGTTAATTCGATTAAAACTTTATCGAATATTTCATCTTAAAAACATTAGCCAAACTTTATTATTTATTTTATTTGATGTTTTTTTCCTGTTACTTTTTCAGATCTTTTTACCCTGTGGACACTACCGGGCCTTTCTTAACGAGCTTGTTGTAAATTCGAATCACAATAAGACAACCAGTGCCGAGACAAAACTTGGCGTATTAAAATGTCTAAACTGTAAACAATTTCAGAGAGTTTTAGGCACGTAAAATACAATTCTTTATCGCCGAAAGTAGTACGCTGCCGCATTAACTGCTCAACTAGGACTCATCAAAAAGTTTAAAAATATTCCAGATATTTTGAGTGGATAATCTATTAATTCTTGCAATATAACAACTAAAATAACGTGTTTTGTTCATTATTTTCACAATAAAAGACTTGAAAGTCACGAAATTTTAACAAAATCTAGATAAAGTTAATATTGTTGTAGTTGTGAGTCCAATTAACAGTTTACTATGAATCAACTATATACGATGAAATTTGTTATAAATCTCTATAATGTAAAATATTAAGTTAAGTGTTTCATTACAGAAGTAACAATAAGTAATTAATATATAAAAAAGAATAAAATAAATTACACAATATTAGTTTTATCTCTAATTATTTAGTTATACTTGAGGAAATCATAAATGAAGCTTAAAGTATTAGGAAATAATAAGTGAAATATGGATTTGTAGAAAAGGGCTGGCAGAATAAAATTTAATAAAAAGTCAAATACATCACAAATGGATACGAGTCCAATTTTGCTTGCCAAATATATTATTTCTACAAAGAAATAATATATTTTTAATTGTGTTGGGATTGTTACCAGCGGACATTTTAAACTGTTTTCCATATTACCTTTCTTTAGAGGCTATGCCTCTAAAGAAAGGTTGTCTCTGCAATGGAAATAGTCGTTCTTGGTGATTGGACATGGCAAGCAAAATTGGACTCGTATCCATTTGTGGTGTATTTTACTTTTTATTAAATTGAAATATAGATATTGAAAACTAAATAGTAAACTTACTTTTGAAGTAGATCCCCAAGATACTCTGAGGTATGATATTGTGAGGCTTCATGTAAATCTTCTTCTTTCAAAATTTGTTTTCTTCCTTTGTTTATTATAGGAAAAAGCCAGCTGTAAAATAAACTAGTTACTTATTAATTAATTTTGTTTAACATAATTTTTTATACTGATAATTTTCAAGTAACTATCGTTGTAGTCAACTTACAACGCATTGAACGATTTCATCTATGTAAATCATTTATCGTTATCACTGTGATAGTTTATGCTGAACGAATTAACTAAAACATTTAAGTAAAACAGCATTAATTAGTGTATAATGTATCATTACTAACTACTTTAATTACAAATGTGCTTGACACACATTCTGACATGCAGTTGTTACTTTATATGTAGAACATGAAATATTTTTGCACAAATTGCATTTTTCTACTTTTACTGTTTTTTTTTCCTTATTCACTTATCTAAGTATAATATCTGATACGTCATAATATTTCCTGAAGAAAATACACGCATAAAAATTCAAAAATGAACACTTCAAGCATACATTTGACATCTGACACCAACATAGTTTTTACATTATAATTCGTTATTTTATTATTAAGTAACTTACGTGCAACAAATTGGATAGTAAATCAAAGTTTGAAACATTAAATTTAATTATTGGAACAAATTTCAGGAACAAATTTTAAATTTAAAATTTGTTCCAGAAATTTGTCATAAATCATATCATATTTGTCATAATTCCAGAAACAGTCATAAATCTGGAACAAATTTTAAATTTAAAATTTGTTCCAGATTTATGACTGTTTCTGGAATTATGACAAATTATGTTTCTGTAAATAGTCATAAATCTGGAACAAATTTTAAATTTAAAATTTGTTCCAGATTTATGACTATTTACAACGCATATGCGATATTGTCACAACTAAACACTTATGTCTGACTGAATGTGCTTTAAACAAAATAAATATACAACATTGCTGTTCTGATACTGAATTAATTAAATTAAATTAAATCAATATTCGAAGTGATAATGAAAGTGTATTATCAGAGTGGCATTCCTTTACAACTGAATTATTAAATCTGCATGTGTTTGACAGACCATCGAATACATAATTCTTGTGTTGAATCTCTACCTGACAAATAGTTTAACACAACAATTCGATTGTAGACAAAAAGCAAACATTGTACTATGAAATTTTGTTTTTCGATTCATATTATTTAAAAACTCAATACTATATCACGCTAAAATCTAATTACAATGTGAAAGTTGATACCAAAATGTGACAGAATATCAAGTATTTAACTTCCAAACATTAATTGCTAAAGCGAAAATAAACTATTTTATAATCACGTCAACAAATTACTACCATTAATAATTGTCAATGGTTTCAAAATCTTAAATTTCAATAATTGAGTCTAAATGCAATAGATTATAAATGGTTGGTCAATGGATCAAATATCTCTTAGATACATAGCAATTGGCGAATTCGTAATAAGAATTGTTTAAAGTTTTCGGAACGAAAAGTTGATTTAAAAAATAATAATAATAATCTTTATATTATATTATACAAATGCTGCATAATTGATATACTTGCTTTGTGGTCAGAATGAGTATATACTATTTAGTAAATATTGGAAATTATATTTAGGTACGTCCTGATACTGCTAATAACGTTACCGTATTCGATGCTTTCGGATCAGGTATCGTAACATTTTTCATAAACAGGTATGATCCAACGGAAACCGGATTATGCAGCCCCATCAAAAACCGAAACGTAATTTTATACTATTTTCGGTTAAGATAAACCTATATAAAAATATTAATGACAAAAATCTGTGTCAAATTTCATTTCGAGAATCAATGCTTAGAGTTCAGATTACTGTTTATAAATAAAAATTTAATTAGACATTATGTAGTACTTTTCTTTGTTAATCGACTTGCACTATCATAAAAATGTTTAAAATAAGAGACAATTTCTATATGCTTGTTTGCAGCGACATTTGCATTCTTTCAACACAAGAAAAAAATTTCAATGTAAAGACTGTTTTACTTCTTTACCAAAGCCGTGAAGATATCTTATTCATTTCTATCTCAGTTACTGTAGTACCCAGAGAATCTATTAGCAGTACAGCGGATTTGCAGCTCGTTCTGTGTATATAAATCGTGATATTAGTGTAAACTGAAGTACTGATTGACTCACTGATTTCGGACCAGACAGCTAAATTCAATTCCCTGAAGTATCAAACTATATTGATTGCTGCTCTGGGGCCCACTCAACATTCACTGAAAGTGTTGCATTTCTAGAAGAAATACAATACCTTTTCACCTCTTCACCTATAAAAAGTATTGTAACAACAGTAACAACTAATGAACAGTGTGTACAGCGACAGTCATCAAGATTTTCAGTTTCGGAACCTGATGCCGCTATTAGCAGGTGTAAATACTTTCAGAAGGCAACCAATACCGATGTCAGTATCGTTAGAGATTGAACATTGTAGAAACTCTTAAAATACATGCCATTAATACTAAGAGGATTTGCTCAGTTGTTTCCAATACGGACGATTCTTAATTAACTTTTTAATAATGTATGTATTATCATTTACTAGAAAGTCAATACTGTAAAGTAAGTATGATTTTAAATAGGTCTTCAAAGAATTTAATTAACTGAAAAAAAAAACCATTTTATAAATACGGTTGTGAAATTTTCTCTACAAAAATCGAATATAGAAAAACCTTCAGATTCCAAATAATAAAAATATTTTTGTTAAAAAATTCAAATACATTCATAGATTTTTTCATTGGCCCATAGAACAACGTTTCTCTTCTGGGTTAAGAGATTTGTTTTAAATATTACTTCATATTATTATCAATCAAAAATTATTCACTCGATATGGTAAACGTATGTGAAGATTTGCGATGTTTAAATATATTTGTTTGATAAATATTTTCATAATAGTAATCTCCCATATTAATCGTCACGTATTTTAAATGATATTTAAATTATGAAACGTACAGTTTCAACAACTAATCTCCTATTAGAAAAACTTTAATACAATACAGAAAGAGTCTATTCTTGCGTTAAATATAATAAATATTTTTCCCGCATCTATTGAGTGATTATTTGTATATTTAATAAATAGTTCAGTCAATTATGTACAAATACAAGTTTGTAAGTAGTTTTTTTTTCAAAATATAAAATATAGTGACGTGTAATTGTATGCTTACGTTATACCTTTACTTTTCTCTTGCCTCTCCATTATCTATTAATTTATCTCATCTACAGTTATGTACACTGAGTATGTAGTATTACTAATCAAATTTATACATCAATCAGATAGTACTGTATATAGTATATATTTCGAGGTATAAAGGTTTAGCGTGTTATGTTTGTTCGGAAACCTTGAAGTTTCGTCAAAATGTAAAAAACAGTTATTATAAAGTTAACAGTTATTATAACGTAAACATTCGTCACTAATATAATTCTAACTTAAATGCTTTTTCATGTACTTAAAATTCTACAAATATATGCAAAGGAAAAATTACTTGCAAATTGATAAATATATAAAAAATAATGATTTCTTACGGTAAAAAAAAAATTCTGAACGAATTGCTTAAATTTCTCGGAAAAAAGTATCAAGGTAAATCGAGATAAAGTTAAAATTATGTGTAGCATCACATAATTTTAAATTTATCATAAACTTTATCATATTTGTCATAAACGTTCTTTCACAATACCGTTAGGGGCCGTCCATAAATTACGTAAGGGCGATTTCGGCCATTCTAGACCACCACCCACCCCTGTGTAAGAAACCGTAATATTTTCTTTGATTCCCTCCCCTTCCCCTTCCCTATTATACGTAATATTTTGGCATGGTTTTATAGAAAGATTTTAACTAAAAAAATCTTTTTATAAACCCTAAAAACCTTAGGTCCAAAATATATAATTATTAATTAGTTAATTAATATGTACTATTATTTATAAAAGACTTTAGGTGAACAAATTTANATTATTATTATTATTATTATTATCATTAATCAACGTCAAAATATTTATTTTTAAATTAATTTTAATTTTCACAAAAAACGAAAAAAACTGCCAGATCGACTAGCTAGTACACCTGTAAACAGAAACGTCATACAAAATAAAACAAGAGGGAATAGAGAGAAACCACATTCCGTTGCCATGTTGATTACATCTTGGCTAAGGCAAAGAAAATAAACTATACGCTGCTAAAATGTGCTAGGTGCACCTGGGAACTAAATAATAAAGCTTATAAAACTCTATATAATGGGGCAATACAACCAATGCTACTTTACGCGGCCTCTGGCTGTGATCATGTAACTAGTAAAAATTCAGTAGCGAGTAAATTACTCTCTCTTCAAAGCCAGTTTGCCATCAGAATTTCAAAGTGCTGCGGAACTGTTTTTATTAATGCCTCTCTGATACTAGCGGAGCTCTTTCCTTTGCCACTATGTATTGTAGGAAACGTTCTAAACCAGGGGTAGCCAACTTTTGCATATTATGCGCCAATTTTTTGATAGACGAGTTCAAATGCGCAGTGGCAAACCGTGAGTGTTAGCAGCCCGGGACGGAGAAAAATTTCGGCCTTAATTAGGTACAGTATTTCAATTTATAAGACGAAAATTCAGATTTGCCACAAAACAAGCAATGAAAAATGCGGTTGTGGTGTAGCTACCCGTATAAAATAGTTCTATATGACATCAGTGGTGTACGCGAAAGCATCGTGTAACGTACAAGCAAAAAGAAAAAAAAAGGTGAACAGGTCGATTGCACCGACTTGTATAAGAAATAAACTTGCCAGGACACACTGTAAAAAAATAATTTTTTATGTAATATTCATAATTGCAATGAAGCCAAATCTGGCAATGTTGCTCGGAACCGACTGAAGCGCCATTTGTAATCGTCCAATGCGCCACGTTTTGGCCCCCCCTGTTCTAAACGACTACAACAGAACTACAAATGTCAAGACTCAACAACGGTCTCTACTCCTAACTACGGCTGTTCATACGCTACGACATTGCAATTACCCTACTATCTCTGATCATCATCCTGTAAACAAGGTTATTTGGTGTCATCCGCTTCCTT